AACTCTACACCAGAGCCAAGCATTGTCATTATAATTACATAGCCTTCAGTTTTAAGTTTTTGTTGTTCTTTCCAAATACATTGTTTTCTTGGTTCTACTTACGTCTTTGCTTCAGTTCATATATGTCATATTTCACTAGGTAGAGAGCTATCCTTAAAACCAGGAAGATATGAATTCAAGTCCTGCCTTTGATACATATTACCTGTGTGAGCCTGAGAAAGACACTTAACCTCTTAGAGATCTGGGCAAATCTTTACGTACTGAAGGTACCAACCTACATTGTTACAGGACATTTCCTCACCCAGGGAATTGCCTGTATCAGGGAAATCATAGATCCGTTCCGTATCTCTATCTTTATTTGTTTATATAATTCTTCCCATTCTTCTCCAAATTCTTCACAGTTGGTATTCCTTAAGGCACGGTGATATTCTGTTAACATTCTTGTACCACATTTTGTTAAGCCATTTCCCAGTTGATGGGGGTACCACAATTTAAAATCACATAATAGCTTTCTAATTTGTCTATTCATATTCAGGAGTCTGCATTTTATAATCCTATAATTTTAGAAAGGACTTAAGTGATCATGTAGTTCAACCTCATAACTTTATAGATGAGTAAACTGAGTCTTAGAAAGCATAGATGACTTGCCTTCAGTCACAAGAGTTAGTGACACAGTTGGGACTAGAACACACATGCTCTTATTCCCAGGTTAGTCCTTTTCACATCATACAATGATGCCTTTCTCAAGTCTTCTCTTGACTGAGTATCCCAGGAATCTTCACAAAATCGCCAGGTCTTCCAAATCAGTTATCACTGATAATGCTCTTGTGTCATAAACTAAGTGATACCGGTGCATTAAAACCCATAGTAGTCATCCTTTCATTAAATGGAATATGTCTAGTAAATGATATTTATGATAGCTCATTATGTCCTTTTATGGAGGAGTTATGGGTGTGTATGCTTGAGTGACTTTAGTTAAAAAAAATTCTTCCTTATACCTTTGTAACAGCTAGTGTTTCAGTTGTCAGTCTATGAGCCTACCTTCATTCCAAATTTCCTTTCAGTGGTTTTTTGCGAATGTTTTGGGAACCACTGTAGGAGCCTTTTGGATGATGGGTGATATATTAGAAACAATATTATTGAGGTTTCTTATAGGAAAAATGGTTGTTTGACTTCCTGAAAATAAAAGTCTGAATGGTATATAATGGAATGAAAGGAAACATATAAGCTTACAGATGCTGTATTCAGTGTTTTAATAGCTTGTTTTTAACATCTCTTAAATATTTGTCCAGTTACATAGTGGACATCAAAGTTTTCAACTTAACCATAGCCATATGGGAGTTGCTACTCATGTAGTCTCGACTGAACTGAACATGAGAAGCACAAGTTGTAATTGCGCACAAATGTCTTATTTCCAGTAAGATGTAAAATAGGTCATTTTTAATTACTTTTAAATGTAGTAACCATGTTAGTCATGTACCAATAATAGATTTCCTTGAATATGCCAGTATGCCAACTCTAAAATGATCTGTTATTTAATCCTATAAAGTTACCTTAAGTATGTGGGAATAGCAGGATTTATTTTTTCATTTTATTGTATCATTAACTAGAGAACCATATACTTGCACATGCAATAACCATATTTTCCTTTCCCCTCCCCCAATGCAGCAGACACAATGCAGATTTTGGTCCTTTTGTGTGATGACTCACTCATAAAAAATAATAGGTTTTTTCATGACTAGACAGAAAAGATCAGACTACAGCAACAAAGCTAGCTAAGTAGCTTTTCATTAGCCATTGTTTCTAGGACTAAACAGACTGCTGCTCTTCTCTTCCTCTATAATACAGTATACTCTACAGGTCACTAAGTTTTGCCCGATTTCTATTGTATCCTCTCTGTCCTGATTTTTCCAGGATATCCCCAAATTTGAATATTCTATCCATATTTCATCAAAATATCTTGGAAATTCCAATATTTTTGGCAAATCATAATTAAGGGAATTATCAGTAAGCATTAAAATAAAAAATACAAAAGCTACATAATATATGAATAGCACAATTACATTTTAAAATGTTCATATTTGGCTATAACGTGTATTTCTGTAGTTATTTATGAGATATGCATCTGTTATGTATGTAGTACATATTATAAAGGGGTATATGGGATGTTCATGGAGGATTAACACCTCTGGTATGAGAGCTTGCCAAGCCCTTTTCAGGGCTGCTCATCCACATTTGGTGTCCGCATGTTACTCAGCTCTCACCCATGGCTCCAAGAAGCTGTAGCATGTGCGACAGCCACACCCCAGTAAAACAGTCTTGGCAGACAGGCTAAACCAGGTTAAGGGTAACTGACAGGCCTCAAACCCATTGGTGAGTTAGGGGGATAGCTATCCCAAACACGAGAAGACTTCCCTTGGCAGAATGGTGAATGAGAACAATTTGTTCCTACAGCCGTGAAAGCAGCTAAAGCAGGCACTGTGGGGTGCTTAGGGTTTGGTCAGGCATCAAAGATGGCAAGGTCATCCACTGCATCCCAGGCCATCACCAGTCATCTCGACTTTTGTCTTGCCACTGGACTTTGATGACTCTGGAAGAGACAGTGAGTATGATGACTCTGCAACTCAGACTCACTTAAATCCAATTCACATGCATGTCAAGATATCACCCCGTGATGTCTTCAAAAACAAAGGATAAATAACAACATATTATATAGGTAGATAATGATATATTATATAGGTAGATAACTATTATGTAGGTATATAACAATATATTATATAGGTAGAATGATATGTGCATCAAAGTGATGACAATTGGCGACAGACTTTTTAATCATAAATGCATGAACAGTATCCTGGGGCAGCAAAACAAAATTGGCTGACTATGCATATCAATTTTTGTTTTGGAAAGTAAATAATGAATATAATTTTAATATTTTTCCTATGAATAAAAATATTCTACATTGTTTTATACATGATTTACAATTTGAAATAATTATTTTTAACATTAAATGCTGTGTCAAAAGATTATAGTCTTTTCACAACATATAAATAGTTGGAAGCATACATTTTTACACGAACCCAAGATATAGATCTTTTGTACTTAGTTGAAGAAATAGCTGAAATAACAATTTGAGTACCTGAGAAAATTATTCCACTTGATATTTATAATTACACAAAGAAAACAATGTTGTGGATGGAATAAATAGGAAGTATTTTTATTATTAAGATAAATAATATTCAGCTTTAGGTGCTATATGGGAAGCAGAACAGTAGTACCATGTGATACTAAGGGGGAAAAAAGTTCTGGATCCATTTTACCCAGTAAGACATATGGCTGAATGGAGTAAAAATAGTAAAAATAGAGAAAGAACTATGATAATATTGTTACTACTAATAGTATTCAGATACTTAATAGTTAAATGAATCCATTGTCTCATCAACGTGGCTATTTCCTCCAATAATAAAAATTGTAACCCATTTATGCTTTGTTTTGGGGGTTGCCATGGCTGAAAAATTTGTTCCCATGTGGTAGGCTTATTAGTGATGAACTTTTCTGTTCTTAGCTAGGTTCATTTTCAGAAAGCAGATGCAACTCTGTTCCTGGGATCATGATTGAAACTTTTAGGAGAGTTGCATTGCGTTGGTACAGCTTTTGAGAGCCAAGGGTCACTTCCATGTGATGATAGGGTCTTGGACTAAAGTTGTGGGGAAGAGATACATAAGAAACAATATATATATATATATATAATATATATATATATATATTATATATATATATATATATATAACATATATATATATATATATAACATATATATATATAATATATATAATAAGCAAATAATAAGTTAAGTAAAGATCAGGAATTTAGAGTTAGAAGAGACTTCAAAGGTCATCTATTCTACTCTCCTCATTCTTCAGATAAGCAAACTGGGACCAAGAGGGTTTAAGTGACTTGTTTAAAGACACAGTAGCAGAGCCAGGCTTTGAACTGAGTCTTCTGATTCCAAATCCATCACTGTTTCTACAATATCATACTTTCTTCTAAGGTCATTATTTACATTTCTCAACTCCACATCTCTAGAGTCTTCTATGTTTCCTCCTTAGTTCTTGACTCAAATAAAGATTAGTTCTTGGTAAGGCCAACCCTCTCTACTTGTTCTCTTCATTTCATCCCTTCCTATAGCTCGTGAAGACAAGTCTTCCTTGTATGTAGTGTAGCTACTCCCAGTTCAAAATAAATAAGGGAAAGGAAAGAAGAAGGCCTGGAGAAAGCCAAATTCAAATCTGATTATCTGTCACTATCAAAGATTAGGGTAGACAACTAGGGTTTTTTTTCTTTTGGAGTAAAGGAATAAAAGGTGAAAGATGGAGACAAAAATCGCTGCAGAAAAAGGCGTGCTTTTTGGTCTATGCACTTGTCCCATTTCTTTTTGCGTCTTCAATCTTTTCTTTTCCAGCAATTTCTTACTGTTCCAGACATGTTCAGGTCTCATCTGTCTTAAAGGAATAATAAAAACAAAAAACTCATTTGAACCAAAAAAACCTTCCTCAGATACTACCACCTCTTTCAGTTTTAAGCATTGTTCTTTACTTCTCTTTATTGCCAGATTCCAAGAAAGAGTAATCTAAAAGTGTTTCCTTTACCTCCATCCCTTATCTCTCAACTTCTTGCAATCAGATTACCAGTACCCTGACACTCTACTGAAACTATTCCCTCAAATGATGTTTTAGTTGCTAAATCCAATAACCTTTTAACATTCTTTATCCTTAGAATTTGAACAATGTTGGCCACCTCTTCTTCAGGGCTTCTCCTCCCTTACTCTGAACATGTTCCAACAGCCAAATATAGAAAATAGAAACTAAATAATGAAAAGTAGATTCTTTATTAATTTTGAAACTTATAATATTCTTTTGATTATCGTAATTTAAGATAATGTTGGGTAATGCAGCTTTTATAAAATGTGTCTTGTCTTCATTTTGTTTTCCACATTATAGGGATCAGCATTTGCTGCACAACCATTTGAGAATTACGATCTTTTCCTAACCACAGCTATTGGTGATGCAATAAAACTGTGGGATTTAAGAACATTGAGGTAAGAGCAAATGTTTTAGCTTTTTTTTATCAGTGTATCTCTTAAGCTTTGTCAACTTCAGTCAGCCATGTTTAAAAGTCAACAGCCTCAGATACTTACTAGCTGATTGACTCAGGGCAAGTCACTTAACTCTGTTTGCCTCAGTTTCCGCATGTGCAAAATGAACTGGAGAAGGAAATGGCAAACTACTCTAGTATCTTTGCCAAGAAAACCCCAAGTCGGACAAGACTGAAATGACTGTACAACAACAATAATAAAAAGTTAGTGCTTCATTCAATTATTGCATATACCACCTGATGTTCTTTAAAATGCAGTCGAAAAGGACTGCTTTGGGAGGCAACTAGTCTTTGTATGTTCTGCCTCAAAATTAGAAATTAGGCATTCTATCAGGCTATATGCAAGGCTATTGCCTTAAACTGGTGTTCTCAGAAACCAACTTAAAAGCAAAGCAAAACAAAACAAAACAAAACAAAAACCCAAAACTTGGTTTGCATTAGGTTTACAAAATTATATTTTCTGTCTTTGGAGATTATTTTTTAAAAACTTGAATTAAAAAAAGGCACATTTCTCTGGCTATATTAGATGTTTTGTAAATGTTTGTTGAATTAAAGAAAAAGAAATGCTGGGTTATATAATAAAACCCTGCCATTGCTAATAAGGCACTTTTTAAGGATTATATTCATGCCATTAGACATGGTTGCAGTAATTTAATTTGGGTAAAAAAAGAAACTTATGGTACCTGTAAGTCAATAGGAGCTAAAATGAATCAAGTGAATCTTATGAGGGCATTCTTAGTCACTTTTTTAAAAAGGGGATTTGGTATTTAATAAATCTAAATCCTTTGCTTTAATAAATAGTCTCCATTTTCAGAGAACTGAATGAATTCAGAAGGAAAGGCTCTGAGCAACCTGGAAGCCAGAGTGAAATTATGAAGAATTCTAATAAAAACTTAGAGAACCCTTTTCCTTAAGAAAAAACAACCCAAAACTGTAGAGGAATCTCTTGTAAGATGAAATCCTTCCTAGAATCTGTTGAATACATCTAAGGCTCAAGAACTGTGGTTTCAGAAAAATGCCTGAGCTATATAAAGGATGAAAGGCACACTTGTATATTGAATATGGGAGTGCCAGCAAGTGTGTGCATTTTGGAAGGAAGAAAAGACAAGGCTAAGTCTGCTTTTGAATATTTAATTGGGCAAAGAACTGAGCATTTGGTGGAGAAAAGAACAATCCTCTACTAAGTAAAATATATTAAAATATAAAGTTTATGGTTTGCAATGAGGATATCATCTGTCGCCTGGATGGGGGTGCACCCTCTCCAATAAAAGGACTTGACCCTGGTGTAGGTGGACCTGGATTCAGTTCTGGGGGAGCCTGATCCTAAGGAGGGGAAGCTAAGCTTTTCTCAGACTCCCTGCTTCATGATACTCTCACCCCAGACTTCTGGGAGAAATAGATTAAATAAACTTCAGGTTTGTATGCACTGAAGGGATAACAATATCCCTTCTGGAAAAGTTATTCAGCATGTAAACTAACAGGTATCAGGTACAGGACAGCTATTTGTTTCCTCTATTGCAAAAGAATGGCTAAAATACAAAGACCTTATCAGCTTTGGTTAACACATACTAAAACACAAACTCTAATCTATGATTTTTGCTATACTCTCCTGGAAGGTAAAGACTTCTGGGAGATTTGTGGGACTGTTTGAACAGATATTTTTCATTACTGTCTGGGCAGCTACTCATATCTTCTGGCCAGCCAGGCGTGCATGGCTTATTCTCCTGGTGGTGGCCAAGAATAATAACAGCTAGCATTTATATAGTGCTTTACAAACATCTTAGTTGGTCTGCACAGTAACCCTAGGGGACAGGTGCAATGGTTATCAACATTTTACAGATAAAGAATCTGAGGTGGATAAGTGGTTTGCCCAGAGTTCACATAGCTAAGAAGTGTCTGAAACAGGATATGAACTCAGGTCTTCTGGATTCCAAGTCCCTGGACCCTATCCACTGCGCCACCTAGATGCATTTTCGTCTAGCTTATGATTTTCTTCTCCAAGAAGAACATAGTTACAGGAAATACTTGTTGCTAGTGACCACCCAGGAACTCCAGACCTCTTGAATTCTTAACATAATTGCCAGAGCTGGAAACATGCACCTCTTAGGTTTGCTGTTCAGTTACCTGTACCTAGGGAAAGAAATGGAAAATAGAGGAGGTAGCCATGGACTTGAGATCTAGTCTTATATTCACTTAGGAAGGTAAATGTTCTTCCTGCCATGTGCAAATCAGCACCAGAGCCATCACTGGGGAAAAGGAAAGGAGAAAAAGCCCCTTCCTACCTTTGAGGAGTCCAAGGTAGAGGTGGCACTGCTTCCATCCCAACAAAAAGGACACCTCAAAAAAATTGTAAACCTCCTTTCCTTGTTCCCTCTGGTCCACAGAATGGGCAGATCTTTTTGGTCCATTTGTCATTTCTTGACATAATCCCTCCCCTCTTCCCCTCAACCCTCTACCTTTTACCCATGTGGAACAAATGGCCAACAAGGAACCTCTAGCCAAGCATGACCTTTTGCAGGGGGCTAGAGCATTAAGTGTCCTTTCCCATGGAGCCAAAGTGTGCCTGCCCAGCTTCATGGGAAGTGCTCCAATGCAACCTTTAGCTACAGGTACAAAGTCTGGTAACGTGCCAAAAATAATCATGATATACAATAAAAAGATAATGCTCTGCCAAGCTTAATATTTTCCTTGAAAAAGAAAGATAAAATTATAGAAGTCTTGTCTTTGGGAAAATTAGTTAATACATAATGCCTAAACCTGTGGTATTATGAAACCTTTATGATAAAATAATTAGAATAATAGCATTTAAGATCAGGAAAGGTCCTTAGAGATAATTTAGTTTAACCTCCCCTTTTATAGATGAGGATCCAAGCGACTTGTCCAAAGTCATATAGTAAAGCAAGGCTGTGTCCAAAATTCACATCTCACAATCCAGTTCTTTTCCCACAGTACCTCAGTTGATTATACTTTAAAATTAAAACATCTTTATTCTCAAGTTATATGAGTTTTAAGTAGTCAGTATCCATCAGTTTGAGAGGCAGCATGGTGTATGGAAAAACAAAAAAACAAACAAACTTTTGGCTTGGACTCAGCAGGACCTGGTTTTGAGTCCCTCATCTGACTCTTATTAACTGTCTGACCCTGGACAAGTCACATGACCTCTTTGAGTTTGTTTCCTCATTTGGTTGTGAGGATCAAATGGGATAATGCTTTTAAAGCAATTTGCAAACCTTAAAATTCTATAAAAATGTTAGCTACTATAATTGTTATTAATGCTTTAAACAGTTATGCAGGGATCTTTTGCATTTAAAGAAAAATTAAATTTAAATATTCCATCATCTCTAAATTAGACTTGGCATAATTTCCATCATCTTTATTCAAATCTATCTGCTTCACTTATGGGTCAACTTATTTTAATGTAAGTCATTATCTTTCCTAAGTGCTGGTAATAATACACTGATGATTTTCCCTATATTTGGCACTTTGGGGTATCCACAATTTCATTATTTTGGGTATACTTATCCATGTTTTCCCATAATTCTATAATAGATGTCAGTAGACACTGGGGGGTCTTTCTTTCCTTCTCCTTTCCCCTTTATCTCTTCTTCCTCTTCTTCTTCTTCTTTCTTTCTTCCTTCTTCTTCTTCTTCTTCTTCTTCTTCTTCTTCTTCTTCTTCTCTTCTTCTTCTTCTTCTCCCTTTCCTTCCTTTCTCCCCTTTTAAAAATCAAAAAAACATTTGTTAATGCTCTATTATGTGCCCAGGCACTGTAATACATGCTGGGGACACAATAACAGCCAAGCAGTTCCTGGCCCCAAAGATCTTACATTCTAATAGGGGAGACAACAGGTATTTATTATATCAAGCATAATGTAATATATATCCCAACAAAGAGGCCACCATATATATGTGTATACATATGCATGTATGTTTGTGTGTGTGTGTATGTGTGTATGTGTGTATATATATATGTCTACACACATATAATATGTAAATATGAAATACTTTGAAACACTTGCAAGGTAAGCCTTTAGGGGAAGGCAATCTAGAGGGACTGGAAGAAGCCTCATGCAGAAAGTGACTCTGGAGCTGAGCCTTGAAAGAAACCAGGAATTCTAAAGGTCCCAGATGAGGAAGGAGGTTCAGGCATGAAGTATAGCAAGTGCAAAGACACAGAGATGAAAGACCAAGTGTTGTGTCTGAGGAACAAGCAGCCAGTTCACATTTGTTGCGTGCCTCCTCTGTTCCAGGCATAGTGCTAAGCCCTGGGAACAGTTAGGAGTCTGGTTTGGGCAGCCCATGGAGTGTGTGGAAGTAGTGATATTTAATAAGGATGGAAAGGTAGGATGGGACCAGATGGGGAAGAGCTTTAAATGCCACGTGGAGGAATTCATGTTTGATTCTAGGTTTAATAGGGAGCCACTGGAGTTTATTGAGTGGGAATGGTGGTGATATGGTCAGACCTGTGCAGCTCCTTAGGAAAATCCTTTTGGAAGCCTTGTGGAGAATGGAGTGAGAAAGGATTTGAGACGGGGGATGGATCAGATAAGAAGTTATTGCAGGAGTGCAAGTTGGAGGTAATTACAATCTGGACTAGAGTTGTAGCTGTATGTGGGGAGAGAATGGAACTCATGTGAAAAGTGTTGTGGAGATAGAAACAACATGATGTTGTGAGTGATTAGATAGGAGACAGTATGGTGTAGTGGATAGTGCTGGATTTGGAATCAGAGGATCTTGTTCACATCCTACCTCTGACATACTTTCTGCGGGGTAACCTTTTCTAGGCTCCAGTTTCCTCAACTGTAAAATGAAAGGGTTGAGGTAAATGATATTGAAGGTTTCTTCTATTCCTAGATCTATGATCCTATGTGGGGTAAGGAAATAGTCTAGGAGGACACTGAGTTTGCAAACTTGGGTGTCTAGAAGGATGATGGTATCCTTTAAG